GGGCCTCTGTGTGTGTCTCTGTGCACGTCAAGGGATTAAACAGCAGAGAGGAGAGTCATTTGATGGATTCTGAAGAACCTATGGGATAGGGGTGAAGAACAACACTAACCTTCAATCTTTGAAAAGTTAAGGTCCAATCTGGTATTCATCAGAAGAACAGAAGTGCCCCAGATTGTGTTTTAACTATAATCTTAGCAGCTCACCAGAAAAGTTCCCTCATGTATTTTAGGACATAAGTGTTATTTTCTTTCTTAACCAGTGAAGTGGCTAGATACTTAAATATACTGGCTAGAGTACTCTGGGTCTTTGAGTTTTCAGATGAAATAGTTGGAAAAATCCTTTGTAAGCTCTGTGGTGCTATGTAAGGGTAAGTGATTTTTATTCTTACAATATACACTCAAGTGCTACCGTAGTTTTGGGCTTAGGTGAAATAAGTCTGGCTAAAAGAGCATCCTTTTCATCATTTGAGTTCCAGCTATTCTTTTTGGTGCACAGGGGGCACCCTTGTCAGGTAGGACAGTGAGCAGTTGGTAACTGCTCACATAATGAATTGAGAGGCTCAGACAAGGCTTCTTGGTCATCAGTCCAACTGCCCACTGCCTGCCATCTGGGCTCTGGGCCACCAGGCTCTAGCTTATTTCCCTCCACAATGCCTCCAGAGCTGCTTTAAGCACATTCACTGTCATGAGGGTGCACTGCTTAAAAGGATTCAGTGCTACTCCATTGCATGTAAGATAACATCCAAATAACTTAGTACAGCCTACAAGGCTTTTGAAATATATGGCTTCCACTTAGTTCTCCAGTTGTCTCAGCTGTGATTATTGTCCACTCTTCTGCACAGTTCTAGGCTCCAGTCTGCAAACTTTCATTCTCAAATTCCATATTTATTCAGCAAATATTTAATGCATGCCTACTAATGATATCAGGCACGGGTCTCAGTGCTGGGAATATAAAACAGAGCCTGCATTGTAGGGGGAGACAGATAACAAGCATTATATAGCACTTGAAAAAGTGATGAGAACTATGGGAAAAATAGAGCAAGACAGAGTGCCTTAGTTGTGCTGGGAATGGGAATGGGGGCTGCACTTTATATAGCTGTCAGGCTGGGCCTCTCCGAGAAGGTAAGGGACTGTTTCAGTTATGGAGCATCATGATAAAAATAGCTAGCTGACATAGGAGCCAGCCATGCAAACATCTTGGAGAACGGTCTCCCAAGCAGAGGCAATGGCTAGCTCAAATGTTTTGACACAGGAAATGGTTATTATATTTGAGAATCAGCAAAGAGACTCCTGCCACGGGAATGCAATGAGAAAGCTAGAGAGTGGAAGGAAATTGGGAGGGCTGGGTCTTAATATAAGGAGATATGGTCAGGTCTTACATGCCACTGTGAGGACTTGGCTTTGACTCTGAGTGAAATGGAAAGCCATTGGAGGGGTTTGTGAAGGAGGGTGACATGACCTGATTTATATTTTCAAAGGGCCCCTCTGGCTGCTGTGCTGTGAACAGTTTCAAGTGCAGAAGTGGGGAGACCTGCTGGGAAACTGTTGGAATAATCAGGTGAGAGAGGATTATGATTTAGACCAGGGCAACAGCAGTGGAAGCGAGTGGTAAGAACTAATCAGATTAGGAATCTATTTTAAAAATAGAGCCTACAGGATTTGGATGTGGAGTGCTTCAACATTCAGAAGACAAAAGATGGCAGAGTGGAGAAGGCTGCAAGGATATTGGGATGGTGCAGTCAGGAAGAAGGGGGAAAAACCAGTAGAGGGTAGTGCCCCAGATGCCAAGTAAAGAAAGTATTTTCAGAAGGAACCAGTGATCAGTGATATCAGATGCTTCTGCTAAACTCACTAAGATGAGCCTGAACACTGACAGTTGAATTTAGCAATATGGAGATTGTTGGTAACACCAAGAAGAGGCATTTCAGCGGAGTGATGGGGCACAGGTGTCTAATTGGTGAGAAGTGGGAGAGAATGGGAGAAGAGGAGTTGAAGACAATGAGCCACGACTACTCTTCTGAGCCCCGTTTAGTAATAAAGGAAGCATAGTAAAGAAGGAATAACTGGAGGATAAGTGGGGTCAAGACAGGGTTCCATGAACACACTGGGTGGTCTCAGGCCTTTGTGCCCTTCTGAGATGCTTCTAGAGTCTCCCTAGTGAACTTCCACTGTTGAGGGGCTGATTTATCTATGTCTACACTGAACTTTCTCCCCTGTCTGCACTCATTCATCAAAAAGGCCTTACTGTGTATACCTGCTATGAAGTAGACTGATCATGGAGCTCAGTGAGCAAGCCTGGTAAGATCTGTGCCTTCCTGAGGTTATTTTCCAATGGGGACATAGAGAATACAGAAGCCAACAAATAAAGAAATGAGGTAATCGATCACTACAGATTATGATAAGCGTTGTGCAGGTCATCAACTGGGTGATGCGAGAGAAGGTGAGGTGTGGTGGTCTCTCTAGGCAGGTGACCACTGACATGATCTGAGTAAACTAATGTGGCCGGAGTGTCTGTAACCCCCCACAGTCAATGCTGAGGCTCTAATCTCCAACATGAGTATTTGGAGATGGGGCCTTTGGGAGGTAATTAGATCATGAGTGTGAAGCCCTCATGAATGGGTTTAGTGCATTTATAAGAAAAGACATGAGAGAGATGATCTCTTTCTCTACTGTGTAAGGACACAGCAAGAAGGTGGGTATCTGTCAGCAAACCAGGAAGTGGGCTCTCACCAGACACCCTGATCTTGGACTTCCCTACAGCCAGAAATGTGAGAAATAAATTCCTGGTGTGTAAGCCACCGAGTCTGTGGTATGTTTGTTATAGCAGCCAGAATGGACTTAATATGGAGGAACCAGCTGCAGAAGGGCCAGAGGAGTCTTCCAGGTGGAGGGAATCTGCTCCAAGAGCAGGAGCATTAAAGTAGGACGGGGTGGGGCAGTAGAAGAAGAAACAGAGGTCTTATGTGGCTAGAGTGGGGAGAGCTGAGGGAAGGTGATGTGAATGCATAAAGGGAGCAGATTAGGTAAGGTCTGGGAGGCCTGGGCAGGGGGTTGAGTGTGGAGAGATGGGGGTGGCTTTGTGCATGGTGGCAGTGGTGATAGGGAGAAGTACATGGGTGGAGATATCTTTTGGAGGTAAACAGGTTGATGCATTGGATGTGGTAAACGAGAGAAAAGAACAAACCGAGGATTGCTTCTTTGACATGAGGAGTCAGGTGGATGTAGTACCACCATCTAGAAGAGAAAGATACCTAGAAGAGGGGTGGGAGATGTTGTGAGGGTGAGAAATAGAGAGCTGGTTGGAAAACAAGAAAACAGCATCAAGGAATCCTCTAGGGAAATGCTTCAAGAAGTTGGAAACAGTCAACTAGGTAAATGCTGCTGAAAGAAAGCGAGGGACTGAGACTGAGCATCATCAGTCTTAGCACTTACTCTTCCGGAGCCCTCGAAGCTAGTCTAGTAGCTATTCTTTTCTGCCTTTTCTCCTTCATTATTTGAAGGATGGCTAGACGTTTTGGTACTCGTTTTATGTTCACCTTTTTATTTCTGGGCTCAGTAGGGTGCCTTAGGAACAGGGTAGCTTGCATGAAAAGTTCAAGATTGAAAATAACCCTGGGAAGGAGACACCCTAAGGTGCTATCAGTTGGGAGATCTGCTGCCAGATGCCAGGAGGAGTGGGAGGGCCAGCACTGCTCCCTAGGAGCCCTGCCCAGAAGCGGAGTATGATAGGTTCCACTCAGTGCCTCATTGGCTGAGAAGAGCTCTGTCTTCTTGGAGCTCCAGAGCGTGTTCATGATAAGGCAGGGTGGGAACCTGACTCACTGGCACACAATTAGCCCGCTTTTGTCTTTGGATCTGACTGGAAGTGACTCATGGGCTGGAAAAAAACCTTTTGGAAATAAATGAGGGGGGGAAAAAGGAGGTAAAATCACTACAGCATTTTATTCTGAGATAACATGTGGATCCACTGTCCTATAAATGTTGAATACTGCACATTTCCTCAGCCTTTCTCCAACAATAACCCAGAGGGAGTTATTAAGCCTGACGATTCACTCATTTTTCTCCAAGATTTTTATTAAATGCAATTTTGAGGGGATAAAGTTTCTTCTCTTTTCTTTTTTATCCACACGAGGGGATAAAGTTCTCCTCTCTTTTCTCTGAGCCCAGAAATATTCACTCGAATAAACCCTAATTACCACTAGGGCAAAATAAATGGGCTTAAAGAAGATGCAGCAATAGGCGATGTTTTTCCTTTAAGTGAATCAGTTGAAGGTTCTTGTTCCAACAGGCACCAGGGCACTTCCTGTCCGCTCACCCCTTGCTTAATTCAGTCTGAAGAGCATTGATGGAGCACCTTATTGTGAGGCAAGGACGCATATAAGGTAGGGGATAAAAGACACAGCTCTGCCTTCTGGGGCTTATGGTAGGGGGTGGGGAGTTAGTCTTGAACTCAACTAAGATACTGTACATGTTAGACGAATAAATGCCGTTGTGATGTATTAAATAAGACTGCTTTGTTTCCAAGTAATGAAAATGCAAACTAAGTTAATAAGGAAAATTTGTTGTAAAAAAATACTGGATTGTCACCAGGAATCTGGGGCAGGCAGGCCCATAGCAGGGACACATCAGACCTCTCTTGGCTTCTCAGCTCTGTCTCCATCTGTCTCGTCTCTGTCTCTGCCTCTACCTCTGTCTTCAGATTAGCCTCTTCACAGCATGGTGCGAAACATGGTTGTACAGAAGGTTCCCAACTTTATAATATCTGGCTGTTAGCCCTGGGGAGAAATGGACTTTTTCACTTTCAGTTCCAAAATTCCCCAAGAAGGCTTCTGATTGGACTAAAATGTGTCAGCTCTTCACCTCTGGACCAATCTCATGTGGCAAGGCGGAGAACGCAGGGATTTGGGAAGCAGCTGCGAAAGGTCCTGTTTAGGTCAGAGGCACATTCCCCACTCCCATCCTCACCCGTGCAATAAAATGGCTCTCCTGGCAATCCTACGGACTGGCAGGGGGCAGGCAGCGGGCCCCACGAAGGCAGCAGGGTAGGGGGAAGCAAGGGACCCAGTATTTCTGCTGTTTTCAGAAATAACTACAGGGGCTCTGGCCTGACAAGTGTAACTCTACTAATGAAGGCAAAGGACTGAAATATTTGAAAAAAGTAGTCCCTATGAAACCTAGCTTTCATTTAATCCTCACAAAAGTGATCTAAGGGATTGCTACTATGCCCTTTTTACAGATGTTGGATACAGAGAGGTTGAGCACCCTGTCCACGCTTGCACAGCTGACATGTGGCAGGGGAGTATTGGAAACGACCTTTGTGCCGCCTGCGCCACCAGGTGCGTCCACAGACAGAGCTCAGGGGGAGAGTGGCCGAGCTCGGAGCAGGCCCAGGCCCAGGCCCTCGCGGTGGGGGTGGGGCACAGGTTCTGAGCCGGGCCTGGACTTACCCGGAGGATTTCCACAGGCAAGTGCAGGGCGCAAGGGGGCTCCGCCAGTCTGCAGAGCTGCGGGCCTGATCCCAAAGGTGCGACCCGCAAGCCGGGTGGGCCGAAGGGAGTGCGGGAGACAGGGTTACACAGCCTGGAAGAAAAGTCCAGGCCCGGTGAGGAATGCCACGCCCCAGTCTGGAGAGCTTCCCTCCAGATCCCTGGCTGTGGAAAGCAATTCCATTTAAGGGCAACCCAGTCCGGTTCACACCTAGTCTTAAGGATGACAGATTGCCCTGTGGTCAATTTGGGTGGTGAGAATGGGAACCTACAGCTCTGCACCTGCCACTGCCACAGCCATTGCCGTAAAGGAAGCCAATCCGTTCCATAAAATGTCACCACCGCTGGGTGCAGTTTCCAAGGGGACCTTCTGCATAAAGAAATACACCAGGGAAAATGACCCCCCAGGACTGGAAACGTACTGCAGCTTGGGAGGAAGAGCCGCTGGGAGGTGGGGGAGGGGCAGGGAGGCGTCCCCCTTCTCGCCCTCACCTCCCGTTCTGTAACCCGGCTCTGCCACGTGGTGGAAGCCTCCAGTGGACGGGGGCGAAGGGCCGGCCTCAGTTCTGTCTACCTGAGGAGTGTCTGCACGCAAACAGCGGAGCAGCGGGAGCTGGGAGTCGCGCCTGGGCTCGGCTGCAGCGACCCCGACGCCGCCGTGGCGGAGCCTGAGTGCCGAGCTGCCGCCGCGCCTGCGAGCCGCCCCTCCCCCGCCGGGCCCGCGAGCCCATTTTCGCTTGGCCGGTCCCTGCGCTGCCGGATGGATCGCGCCCCACCCCCGCTCCTCTGCTCAGTCATTCAGACTTGGAAAGTCAATAACACGCTGACATCATCAGGGGTTTGTGTATTATTACACGGCTACTTTCCAGAGTACCTGGCATTATCTAAGAGAGGAGCACTCCGGTTGGGACCTGGACGCAGGGCTGGGTGGCCTCGGGAGGGGCGGCTGCCCCCCAGGCAGGACTTTTTCCCTGTGGGGAGCATCTTCAGGACACCGATTAGAAACAGATTAGGAGCTTTTGCTGCACTAAAAACAGATCACTTTAGATATGCATACAGGCTTCATTTTGGGTTGGGGTGCGCTTATAAATCATTCTTAAGTGACCTCTATTTCTACCAAAGACATTCATTTGGTCTTTAAGAAGCATTTTTAGTAATCCTCACGAAGGAAAAAAAAGGCGTCTTTTATGACTAGAAGCCAAAGTCTGATGCTTTTGCGACGCTTGGGGTTTGTGTGTGCGATTGTCTGTTATGTAATGACCATCAGGGTGATTAGGTCTTCCAGGTCCCTCCTCCAGGGCTGGACTGGCTGCTTTGGTTGCTGTGTTTTTCTTAAGCCTCATGCGGAGCAAACACACACATAAAAACATGTCCCAGATTTATGGTACAAACTGCTCTCCAAGCAAATTGCCTTAGAAGAGAGTCTCATTTTGAAGGAGGGAAATAGATGAATTTGTTGTTAATTAAGACTCCTTATCTTACTACTCTGGCATTTCCTTTTCCTAGAATGAGTTTGTAAAAATAATTTTATGATTTTCAGTCGTTCTTTCCCTCCCCGGTGCTGTAATGGCACTTGTAATAGCTTAAATAACTAATTGTATGGATTACTGTACTTTTGGTCTGTTTACACACACCCACAAACAGACACACACACAGACCTCAGTTAAAATACGTAAAGCTCAGTTACTCACATAACACGGTTCCTTTTCTGTTTGGCCCAACAGGCTATTTCTTTCTTTACACACATGCAAGGCTGATTCATTCAAATTCTCTTTAATGTCTTAAATTGAAATAAATGGCAGACAGCCCCAATTTGACTACTGGAGAATTACAGGGGGAGAGCAGTTCTTCCCTGGCCTCATCTGCTCCCTCTGTACCTCAGGCAGGGAGAGATCACTGATTGATAGAAAAGTCTCTGGCCTCCAAAGGAGAAAGCAAAGCAGCCATGTTTCTCATCAATGTAACAATTTTCCTAGTGCACTAGATCATTTCAGGAGAATTTGTACAGATTATGACCACTTCCCTCCAGATGGTCTTTCACGAGATTTGTACTTCTAAAACCACCTCCCCAGGCCTGTTCTACACCCCTCCCCAACCAGCCTTGCCCTGGACATGTTCCCTTTCCTATGCACAGGCAGCTGGCAGGGCCCGGTATACCAGCCCCCCAGATGGTTCAGGTGGTGTTGGGTCTGTGAAGCTTGAAGCTGTAGAAGGGGAGTGGTGAGGACTCACCGCAAACCCACCCACTGTTTGCTCAGGGGCTTTCCCTGAGCTCAGCAGAGACTAGTGTGCAGACCTGGGAGCTTGTCTCTTTGCTTGTCACACACTTCTGTTACTTCATCTGCTGGCCCTCTGCCTTTGCCTGAGCCCCTCCTAGACATGACTACTTGTTATAGCAGTCCTTGCTAGGCAAGGCATCAGCCCCCTCATTCTGGATGCTGAGACTCATACCTGGCAACCACTATCTATCCTGGAGCTTTGGCCTAAGCCGTGGAGGGTGAAGGTGGGTGGGTTGCTTAGGCAGAAGCTGCACGGTAGGAAGTTGGTTGCCAGGTATCAAAGCTCCAGAACTAGATGGCTAACACCTTTGTCTAGCAAGGAGCAATGTGTGACCCGAAACAGGGGAATTCAGTGGAAAGGAAGCATGCTGGAGGTGGAGAAGCAGGAGTGTTGGCCTGGGAGGAGCTCAGTACAGTATTTGGAGATTTGGACACGCCCCGCCAGAGCCAGAGAGCAGGCCATTTACCCTGAGGAGAGGGCCTTTGGGCTGGTGCTCCGGTGCTGGGGGAAGCAGGAAGAACACGTGACTGATGGCGTCAGGCCCCTCTGCCCCCAGCTGGCCCTGGAGGAAACGGCAGCCTGATGGGTCTGGCCACGGTCCTGCAGAGTGACATGCTCTTTCCGCCTTTCCTTTGGAAAAAAGTTCACTCTCTAGGCCTTTACTGTCAAATAAATGTCAGCTGGTTAGAACTGGGTGCATTTTAATTCACAGGCTTGAGTTTTTCAGGCATTCAGTGTGAAGATTCCAGCAACTGACACTCAGTTATGAGCCCTAATGTTGATTTAGAAAAGACAGCATTTTCAAATAGACCTTTGGCTTTGATGAAGACCACAGCCATGCTTAGTTATGTGTGGTTGAGTTTTCCAATCCATCGACGACTGAAATTTTTGTTTTAAAAAATTAGAGAAGTATATTGAAAAGCAGATGTAAATATACAACCCCATTTAAAAATTTAGATTCAGAAAATCATATTCACAAAATTACTCTCTCATATGACTATGGGTATTTCTAAATTTCATTCTCAGTTGCTATTTGCAGCTGGTTGTTGGAGGCAATAAAACAGTCCTTGGATCTGGGAGATGCTCTGTAGTAGCACTAGAGCAGAGGCTGCACACTGGAGGCCCGAGGGCTGAATTCACCTCGCATTTGTATTTAGGTAGGCCCCATTTTTTTAAATTAATTAATTTATTTTGGTATCATTAATCTACAATTACATGAGGAACATTATGTTTACTAGACTCCCCCCATCACCAAGTCTGCCCCACATACCCCGTTACAGTCACTGTCCATCAGCATAGTAAGATGCTATAGAATCACCACTTGTCTTCTCTGTGTTGTACAGCCCTCCCTGTGCCCCTCGCCCCTCCTATCTTATGTCTGCTAATCGTAATGCCTCCCTTTTTTTTCCCTTATGGCTCCCTCCCCACCTCTCCTCCCCAGTCCCTTTCCCTTTGGTAACTGTTAGTCCATTCTTGGGTTCTGTGAGTCTGCGGCTGTTTTGTTCCTTCAGTTTTTTTCTTTGTTCTTATACTCCACAGATGAGTGAAATCATCTGATACTTGTCTTTCTCCACCTGGCTTATTTCACTGAGCATAATACCCTCTAGCTCCATCCATGTTGTTGCAAATGGTAGAGTTTGTTTTCTTCTTATGGCTGAATAATACTCCATTGTGTATATGTACCACATCTTCTTTATCCATTCAGCTACTGATGGACACTAAGGTTGCTTCCACTTCTTGGCTATTGTACATAGTGCTGCGATAAACATAGGGGTGCATATGTCTTTTTCAAACTGGGCTGCTGCATTCTTAGGGTAAATTCCTAGGAGTGGAGTTTTTGGGTCAATGGTATTTCTATTTTGAGTTTTTTGAGGAACCTCTATATTGCTTTCCACAATGGAGGTAGGCCCCATTAGAAAAAAAATCAGATTGAAAACCCAGAGATTTCACATAAAAATCCAGCTTTTCCTGCTAAGTGAAAAGCTCTTGGCAACACAAGCATGTCAACAGTGCCACTGCCCCTTTTCAGCCCAGCTCACCCCTAGGCAGCTACCTGCTTGGCTGCAAAAGGCATTTTAATCTATTTACCCCTTCTGAAGTGGTCCCTTTGAAATGGGCTTGTGAGTATTTTCCTGACCTTCTCACAGGGAAAGACCACTCTGCAAAGGTCAAAGGACCCAGCTGGGGCAATGTGGCTTTGAGGCCGGAGGCTGTGGTGTTAGAACAGTTTCTGTGGATCCTTGGGTGCCTCGAACATTCTCTCTTGATTATAATGGATAATGCACTTTAAGTCTGTAATAGGTTAAGTCTTTAGATGCATGCATGCTTTTGTGATGAATATAAAAATTTAATAATTTACAAGTGTTACTGGTGTTACTACTAGTGTTTTATTATTTAATATTTCTTGGTCAATAGATACAGAAAGTAAAACTGCAACTGCCTTTTTTCCCCTTTGTCTTTTTTTATGTTTTAGAGGGGATGGTCCCTCATGACAAGGTTAGGGACTATTGTTCTATAATAGTTTTCATATTTAGACTGTTATTCATGTATCCTTAATAGAATGTTGAAAT